AAGTAGTCTGTGGTGTGGCCATTGATGGACACACATGAGCGTGAGATCTTATAGAGCCGGCGGATGCTGGTGAGCAAGGTGGGTGGGATTGGGTAGTTCTCAAGGACCTTGAACAGTGTCGTGTGGGAGATGCGGTCGTAGGCCTTTGCCTGGTCAAGGAATACAAGGGCCCCAGGCTTCTTGGTCAGTTCGAGGTATCTGCAGATGGCCTGGGCCTTGTAAATGCCGTCTGCAATGTACCGGCCAGGAATGATTGCATATTGCTCGGGTGAAATGACGTGCCTCACCATTTGCCCAATGCGTCTTGCTACGATTGAGGTCATAATTTTGAGGTCGGCATTCAGCAGGCTGATCGGTCTGTAGTTGTCCAGGTTGTTTGGGTCACCTTTCTTAAAAATCAGTGTAATTGTCCCTTCAGCAAACTCACGTGCGACCATCTGTGGGTGCTTCAGCCAGATACTGCACAGATGGTGTAGGATTTTACGCGCGGTGGCAGAGTGCTTGTAGAGCTCGGCAGGAATTCCATTGGGGCCACATGCCTTGCGGGGTGCTGCATCCTTAACGGCCCGCTCAAATTCCAGTTCTCCAATCGTGAACCGAGTGACTGTTGGGATAGTTGAGCCATGTAGATGGTTAATGTATGTGCGGTGGACAGACAGCAGTTCATCAAGCTCATTCATGTCAGGCTCCGTGTGGCTGTACATTGTGCTGTAGAAGCGGCCTGCTGTTTCTGTGAGTTCGTCAGTCGTTGATGCTAGTGTCGTTCCTGCTGCGGGCTGTCCTGGCAGGTTTGTGTGCAGTGCTGTGATGGTGTGAACAATGCGTGGGTCGAGTGTCTTCCGAGTGATCATGGACTGCCACAGGGGGCGGCGGTCCCCTTCATGGAGCCATGCGCGGTTGGCGCGGATACGAGTGTTGATGGCTGCCTGGGCGGTCAGATCCAAGGCTGTTTGTTCCATGGTGGCAAGCTGGGCTTTGTAGAGGCGGCGGCCGTTTCCTTGCTCGCTGTTGGCGAGGCGGGAGAATGCGCGGCGCAGTTTAAGGATCCGTCGTTCCAATGAGCATTGCTTTCTGTTGTGGTCGTGGCGTGCATGCTGGCGGATTCGTTCAAGGAGGCCGAAATAGAAGTGGAAGTGGAATGGGGAGGGTGGGCGGTGATATAAGGGATTAAATTCTTCAAGCGTTTTTTCCACAAAAGCTGAAAAATCCTTGTCTGCAAATGCTTTGTGGGGAACCTGGAATGGGCGGGAGGCACTGCTTGTTGTAGGACCATCTGCAGGCAGTGTAAGTGTAATTTCTTTGTGGTCAGAGAACTCCCCGACGTCGAGCAGGTCAAAGGCGACGCCTTCGCGCATCAGCATGGTTGTGGGGACTATGAACAGGTCTATCCGGGATACAAAGGCTATGGAACCATCGGGCCGCTGGTGTTTGTAGGTAAACAATTCAGTGCGCGGGTTCTGGGTTGACAGTGGCGGGGCATCAGGCGGTGGTGGTGGTGTTAGAAAGTGGGCTGCATCGTTAGAGCGTAGGGCAGACTCATACATCGGGATTATGTCATAGTGGGCTGTCTCGCGGCTGCGTTCAGTCGTGGATTGGCGGTCGAATGGGTGTGGGGCTATGTTGAAGTCACCGGCGATCAGAGGGATCCAGCCACAGGTGACATAGGTTGAGATGGTGTGGACAATGCCGTCGTGGAAGGATCGTACCTCGTCAAAGGGGCCATGTATGGACACAATGATCAGGCCTCGGGTCGGAACAGTGACAAAGGTTGCCCGTGAGCAGCTAACTGCATGTTCCAGATGGGCCATGCCCACCCGTCGGTGGACAAGAATCGCTGTGTCATGTTTGGTGTTTGTGTGTCGGTCATGTTCATTGGCAGTACCGGGCTGTGCAGAAAAGGTCTGGTATTCTGGATATCGTGAGCGTAAAAGGTCCTCGGGTGAGGCCGTTGAGTTGCACTCCTGTAGGAATGCTATGTCCACAGCATCGCGTGTCTCGGTTGTGCTGCGGCGCAGTGTAGCAAGGAGGGCGGCTAGCTTGAGCTTCCGGTCGACGGATTCACGGTAGCGCAGTTGTGCAGTGGCCTCAGAGGCGGCTGCAGCATTTTCGTTTTGGATGTCGTTGTTGTTAGGGGCAGGGGCTGCTGGAGGGCGGATAAAGCGTGTCCATTCAGCTGTGTAGGAGGCAGAGCGGCTTCCCATTCCCATGCCCCGCAGGTTTTGCGAGAGCAGGTTGAGGGCTGGGAGTGGGAGGGTTGCTGCTGCTGTGGGTGTTTCTGCAGTGTTGCGCGGTCTGTTCCGGACAGAGGCGCGGGCGGGGGGTGTGGCTAGGTTTGGGGCGTCGCCGGGCACTGGGGCGGCTGGTGGTTCTCGGGTGGCGGCTCTTCCTTCGTCTTCGTTGTCAGCTCGGGCATGATCAACTTGGGGCGCTGGGGGAGTCGCTGTATTGCGGTGGGGGTTTGCAGCAGCACACATTAATAATGTGTGGCTGGCACCTCATTGACGTCCATCATATTGGCGTCCTCTGGTGCTGCTGCCGTCAGGGGGGTGGGAGTGGCAGCCTGGGCTGCGCTTTGGGTAGTGTAGTGGTGCTGGGTGCCAGAGAGCGCCAGGGGCTCTGTTGGGCATGCTTTGCGGCTCTTCACTGCGGCGCTGGTGGCAGCAACATGGTTGCGTGAGGCGGCAGTGTGGTGGCTGGGGGTATTGGTGCTTGCAGATTGTGACATGGCAGAGTCGCTGTCGTACTCGTCAGACATGTCAATCACAATCTCATCGCTGTTGTTTGGGGTGGGGGCCGTGCGCTGCACACTCTGCTCATGAGCACATGGTGCTGCGGTGGAGAGTGGCTGTGTGGCCTGCTGGCCGCTGACAATAGGGCTGGGGATATCTGCTTCCATGGTGCTAGCGTCGGCGGTGGTGGTTGATTGGGCGGGGTGCTGCGCGTTGGCCTTGGGCTCTGCAGCCGCCCTCTTGACACAATGGCCGGTGGCTTGTGTGCAGCTGCATGGCGAGACGTCAACATGTCCGCAGTGTGCACACTCGATTGTGTCTGAGAAGTCCACTATTCTGATGTCCTGGGTGGTATAGTTGAGGCGGATTGTCTTTGGGTGCGGCTTAGCACCGGCCTTGGGGTGGAAGAATCCAATCCAGTTTCCAGTTGCATAGCCTGCGCACAATAGTGAGTCAACATGGGTGAAAATGCCAAATTCCTTCAGGGCTCCCTTCAGCTTTGAGGGCGTGGCCGTGGTGGGTGCGCCGAGGAGGGCGAGGACAGAGATGCTGCCGTGTTTAGAGTGCCATTTATACTCCATTCCCTCCCACATGAGAGGGAATGGTATTATACTTGCCACGTTGTCTAATGTTTTAAACACCACGTTAATTGCATGTTTTTCGAACGCAAAGGAGCTGATGGGGTTGCGCGGGTCCCGGGGATCCAGGTTTCCAGGCAGGTCCATGCTCTCGAAGACATGGCGACTAACAGCTGCTATCATCTGTTTGGGGCGTCCATTGGGGATGTGGAGCGACAGGGTGGGCACAGTCAGCGCCGGGTAGAGTTCAAGCTCGAGCTCGCGCTGGGTCTTGCGAGCTGGTGCGCCTCTGGGCATGGTGGTGCCGCTGGCAGAGCTGTTGGCGGAGCCAATGTCTGGGCGGAGCACCTGGGCGTAGGAGCGTTGGGTGGTGCCGGCTCTCCCGCGATCTCTCAGGCGGGAGGGGTGAGCTGGCAGGGGGTCAGTTGCGGGCGCAGGGTCGTGGGATGGCGGGGCAGCGGTCGGGGCGGTGGTCGGAGCGGCGGGGGCCGTGGTGCCGGTGCCGTCGGGGGCACTGGACGCGAGAACTGGGGTATCCATTTTTAGTAGTGCAAAATTTCAGATTGTCACGTGGAATTTTGTAATAAAAACAAGAAGTGGAAGAGAGATGGGGGTCTAGCTCAAATGGGAGAGCGCTCGCTTAGCATGCGAGAGGCACTGGGATCGATACCCAGGTCCTCCACACTTTTGCCGCTTCTTTTTCTTGTTGCGTGCTGTGGTGATGGTGGGCCTCATTGGGTGCTGTGAAATAATAACAAAAACACTAATCTTTTTCGAATGGCTCTTCTTTTTTTGCAGAGGCAAAAAAATAAGGAACGACCTGGTGGATCCAGATGCGGGCTGGCCATCGTTGCAATGCCTGCCACTGTGTTTTTCAAAGCTGTTTCTTGTCTATCCCACTCTTGTTTCTTTGTTGTTTTATCGCTTGGCACTTGCTGACCGACATTTTCTTTTTCTATTGTGGATATTGTATTTACAATAAACTGCATTTAATTTACTTCTGTATTGTCATTTTGGCGTTATTGTTTTTTGGGTTGTAACTAAAATTGAAGTTGTAAACGAGAATCGAAAAAAATATTATGCAGTTACCCCTCATATAATTATTTTTTAATGTGGGGGAATTGGTCTATTTTAAGAGCTAGTGTTCTGGAAATATTTATTTAAATTAGAACATATAAAGTTGGGGAAAAAAAAGAATAAGCATTTTCTTATTCGATTTTAAACATTTTTTCAATCATATTTCAATATCACAACTATCCAAATTATTTTTTGCTTCTTCCTATTATAACCATGAAATTTCCATTTGCACTTTCCGCATTGGCTTTAATCGCATACGCAGCGCCCAATAGTATTGGGCAAGACCGTCAGGCCATAATGCATGCGGCGCAGAGAGTCCTGGGGACAGAAGACAATGTGAATGAGTACGCGGATGCGTTTCGTCAACTGGCAACGGCACTTAGCGATAGGGATGCGCTGAAGGGGTTGAATAATGAGGCAGGCTCAGCGGAATACAAGAAGGCACTGTTTGTTTTGCAAAATGATGTGAGTAGGGCTATGTGGGTGTTTTACGATGATAAGGAATTGATTGGGTATTTGCGTATACTGGCTACCCGAATTAAATCTGCATTTTAACTAAATAAAAAATATTTATACTTGTTTTTTCCCTTTCATTTTGGATATTAATGTGAATGAATAAAAATAAAAATATTAATGAATTGAAAAAAGATATAAAAAATTAAAACTTTGAAATTATATAATTTTTTTATTACCATTGTGCTCCAATGACGTTAAACTTTTCGGCAAATTCGAAGTATCCCTTAACAAGGTTATACACTGCGGGCTTAAGGTTCATACTGACCAAAGAGTTACGCACCTTACTCAAGCCATGTATCCTAACGAGGCTCACGACATGTTCGCAGACAGGGTTCGGGTAAACCATATTGTTATACCACCTATCATTATACACCGACAGCCAAACCACTGCATCCAAAGCCAACAGCAGCGCCTCGCTCGAATTCACCGACATCGGCACCGGTACTCCATACCTTGCCACCTCCTTCTTCTGCATCTCAGCAAACTTGCCAGTGTAGATTTCCAGCAAGCGCATCCACGCCTTGGCCGAAAACCTAATCGCCAGGGCGTATTCAAATGCCTCCTTGGCGTCAGACGGGCGGTGAAGGCGGAGAGAAAGTTCTCCAAGGGATTCCCACTCAGCCTGCGTGAAGATATACGTTACTTGCTGGCCGGTTGTACGTAGGTTATGCAGGCGGGAGCGCCAGGAAGTGTAGGCGCGGAGATCCTCGAAGAGCATCATGATCAGGTTATCCAGCCACCGCTCGCACAGCCGCTTGCGCACCTGTGGGATGCCCGGGCGGGGGGCATCAGCGGTGAGCGATTGTGCGTTGGATGTGCTGCTGGAGGCTGCTGCCGGAGCATCGGTGGGCTCGAGAACGGCGATGCGCGGAGCGGCGACCTGCGCGGTGGTATCGGGCTCTGGTGCCGCGGCAACAGCAGGCTGGGCCTCAGGCTGGGCCTCAGGCTGGGCCTCGGCTTCGGGCTCAGTGGAGGCAGTGGCCTTGGAATCAGTAGGGGCTTCGTTATCAGAGAGTGACACGTCGTCCATCTTGTCTCCTAGAGTGGCAATGGCCGAGTCGGCGGCGCGAGCGGCAGGCTCTTCCGGCTGCTTGGTCTCGTCCTCCGGCTGCTGCTGCTGCTGGCTCTTTTCTCCCTCGACGGGGCTCTGGGCCTTTTTGCCCTTGTTCTTCTTGTTCTTCTTCTTGCCCTTTGGCTGCGCAGCCTGCTGCGTCTGCTCGGCGGAGGCAGCGGCAGTCTCTGGCTCAGCGACAGCGGGGATTCCATGCCCAGCGGCAGCCGGTGCCTCAGGCTCAGTAGCAGTAGCAGCAGCGGCATCAGCAGCAGCAGCAGCGGGAACTTCATGCTCAGCGGCAGCCGGTGCCTCGGGCTCAGGCCCGGCATCAGGAGCAGTGGCAGGTGTTTTCTCAGCGCTGACCTTGGCACTGGTCTCCGTCCTGCCCTCAATCTCAGCGCGCTGATGCAGGGTAGCCAGCGGCACCTCGTCCTCGTCCCGGTCCTGGCCCTCGTCCACACCCCCGCCCTCGCCCTCGCCCTCGCCATCCTCCTCATCGTCCACAGCGGCGCCAGGCACGGCCGAGTTCCTATACTCCTCCTCCATGACAAACACCTGGCTTCTCAGCATCAGCAGTTCATCCCAGCCAACTTCCCCAAAGATATCGGCCAAAAGGCGATACGCAGCGGCAAACGTGCCATTAAGCGTGGGCGCGGAGAGCCTCAAGATATCGCTGGTTTCGTTCTGCGCCATCTCCTCGACTCGCCCCGGAGCATCGGAATCAACGCTTGCGCGTATGGCATTGTTCCCGCCAGCGGCGCCGTAGGGCTCGCCCAGGTTGTAGTCGGCGAGAATGTCGGATTTCAACGGGTAGTTGATGCGGCGCGGCGCTGGCACACGAGGGAGGTCGCGGCCGACGTAGGTGTACATGGGGCAGGCGTTGAGCGTCAGTAGGGCGCGGTGGAAGTCGCCAGAGTCGGTGTAGATGTGGGCAAGCTTCGCCCAAGCGTGGAACTCCGACGGCGCGTACTTGACGGCCATGCGGGCGAGCGCCAGCGCCTGAACGGGCTGGTGCTTGCGGCGCAGGAACTCGGCCTGGACGAGCAGCAGCGGGGCGCAGGACGGCTTGGCCTTGAGTGCCTGGTGCATGACGCGCACCGCCTGGACCTCCTCGTCGCAGTGGATGTATGCGTCCGCAAGCAGCGCGGCGATCTCCGGGTCCACGCCCTTGTGGCTGGCATATGTCAGCGGCGCCAAAAGGTCGGCGGCGTAGTCGGCAAAGCGGCCTGCGCCGCCAAAGTACCGGCGCAGCCCGTCGGTCAGATGGTTGCAGGCGGTGGAGATGGCCTGGGTTTCGGCGTTCGACCCCAGCGCCCAGCCAGCCGAGAACTGGCGCAGCAGCGTGTCTGCCAGCCGCGCCTCCTCGTCTGGGCTGCGCACCGGCGTGACGCGCCGCAGTCCCGTGGCGCTGTACGCTTGTGGGTCGGAGTGGAGGATGGCGCGGAGGAAAGAGCTGATGTGGCATTCGCGCCAAAAGTCCTCGCTTACTTCCTTGCGCTCGCCTTGGACGGTTACAATGTAGGCGTCGACGCCGCCGGGGATCTTTATCTGCACGCGCAGGTCGACGTTCGAGAAGGCGTTGTACGAGCAGTAGGTGCCGGAGCTGATCTTCCAGCTGTTGGACGTGCCGAACCACCCGGGCGTGTCGCTGAGCGAGTACTGCAGGGAGTTGATGTACGCTGCGAGCGACGCCGAGGATGATGTGTCGGCCCCGAGCACGTGGTGGTAGGACCCGATCTACGGAGCAAATGCCGAAGGCTGGATGTTAGCGGTGCTGCCCTTTTTCTTTGCCGGTGACTGGTGTTTGGAAGCATGTATGCGTGTGTGTTTGTTGCTTGTTCTTACCTCGGGTTCGTTCTTGTTGGAGCTGTGCGTCTTAACGATGTGGCAGAGATCCGGCGGCCCAAGCTCTCGTATCATGCCTATGCCGGGAGAGGAACCATGTAATTGCAATTGCAATTGTAATGTTTAGCCTTTTTGTTATTTGCCAGAAACTCGAAATTCAATGAACAAGATGTCCAATTGCTCAGCTCCCCCTTGTGTGCTTACCCAGTCCATCTGTGCGCGTGGCCAGAGATTCGCCAATCTCCGTTTCGAAAATATCCGGAACATCTTGCAAGCAATCGTTGTGAACCACCATTTCAATAATAAAAGTAAAAAAAAGTTAAAACTAAGATGAACAAAGAAGAGTGAATTCGCAAAGTGGCTTTACGTTGAATGTAAAAATTGAAGAATAAAAATAAAGCTTTTTTTTTTGCTCCATTATTTTTCAAGTGAGGGTGTGACGACAATGCATTTCTTGTCTTCTATTTTTGGAGTGGGCTGGTCGCACGCGATTCGCCAATACGCTTCTCTCTCTCTCTCTCTCTTTTATTTTAAAGCGGCTCGCTCACAATGCGTGAACCGCTAGAGAAAACCAAAATCTTTGTTTATTTTTTTCTAGTTCCCATCAACAACAGCAACAAATTTAAAAAAAATAAACAGTTTTCAATTCCTTTTTTTGTTTGTTTTCTTCTTATAATCAATTATTTGCTCTTTTTATATATTTTTTTACTATTCTTTTTTTGCTTTATTTCCACAGAAATATAAAGTCAAATATGCCTCGCGAAATCATAACAATTCAGACTGGACAATGCGGCAACCAAATTGGCGCCGAGTTCTGGAAGCAGCTGTGCCTGGAGCACGGGATCAGCACCGACGGAATCCTCGAGGACTTTGCGACCAACGGCACAGACCGCAAGGACGTTTTCTTCTACCAAGCCGACGACGACCACTACATTCCGCGGTCAATCCTCGTCGACCTCGAGCCCCGCGTCATCAACAACATAATGGAATCGCCCTGTGGCAACCTATACAACCCAGAGAACATATACCTGAGCAAGGACGGTAGCGGAGCCGGAAATAACTGGGCCAGTGGGTATAGCCAAGGAGAACGTATCTGCGAGGATATCCTTGAGATGCTTGATCGGGAAGCAGACAACAGTGATTCCTTGGAGGGCTTCAATCTTCTGCATTCAATTGCCGGAGGTACGGGGAGCGGGTTGGGGAGCTTTTTGCTGGAGCGGTTGAGCGATAGGTATCCGAAGAAGCTTCTGCAGACGTACTCTGTGTTCCCTAATAGCGAGGACTCGTCGGATGTCGTTGTTCAGCCGTACAACAGTTTGTTGACGCTTAAGAGGCTAGCGAAGAACGCCGATTGCGTTATGGTGCTGGATAACGCGGCGCTGACGCGGATTGTTTCCGACCGGCTGCATATCCAAAAGCCGGATATTTCGCACACCAACCAGTTGGTTTCCACGGTGCTCAGCGCCAGCACGACGACACTGCGGTACCCGTCGTATATGAACAATGACTTGGCCAGTATGATATCTCCGCTGATCCCGGTGCCCAAATGTCACTTCATTTCCACCGCGTATACGCCGTTTACCAGTGCAGATGCGGACACTGCCAAGGTCGTGCGCAAGACCACGGTGCTGGATGTTATGCGGAGGCTCTTGCAGCCAAAGAACAAGATGGTGTCGACGTTGCCGACGAAGAGCAGCTGTTATATTTCCATTCTGAACATTATCCAGGGCGACGTGGAGCCGACGGAAGTGCATAAGTCTCTGTTGCGAATTCGCGAGCGCAGAATCGCGCAGTTTATCCCCTGGGGGCCTGCCAGTATCCAGGTTGCGCTGACCAAAAAGTCGCCCTATATCCATACTGCGCACCGGGTCAGTGGGCTGATGATGGCTAATCATACGAGTATTGCTGGGTTGTTTGGCCGCACGTTGACGCAGTATGATCGGTTGAGGAAGCGGAATGCCTTTTTGGATCTTTATCGCCGCGAGCCAATGTTTGCCGACAGCATGGATGAGTTTGATGATGCCAGGGAGACTGTCGTCGACCTTATTAATGAATACCGCGCCTGTGAGTCCGAGAACTACCTCAAGGGCCCGGCCGATGCTACTACCAGCTAGCCAAATAAACAAAAACGTGATTAATAAAAATAAGTGACGTATGCCATCCTTTTTATTTTATTAGGTTCATGAATCAAACCTTTTTTTTTTGTTCTTTCTCTTCTCTTGAATTTTGAATTTTGAATTTGACTGATTTTTTCTTTTTTCTTTTTTCTTTTGTAGCTCAATTTCGGGCCCGACTATAACTTCTCTCTTTTCCCTTTTTGGCTCTCCTTTCTTTTTTGGTTTTTTTTGGTTTTGACATGCCATTCGGTACGGCGGATGCATATATTGTCACTGTATTAATACCAATAGTCTGCCTTATTCTGCTTCTGCTTCTTCACTATACCCACCCATTGTCCATACACTCGCTAACGCCCGCAATGATAGGGTAAGTAACACGAATGGATATTGTGGGAATGCGCAGCCTCTCTTTCTCTCCTATTTCTATTTTTATTATTATTTTACAGCGTGCTTAAAAACCCCCTCAGCGGAATACTTTTGCTGTTAAAATGTAGACGGTACATCATCGGCTGGAACGACTCTGCGACTGAAAAGTATCGACACAGGAAACTGGAGAATTTGCCTGTATACCACGAGAGACAGAGCTTTTGGCTGTGCGCAAAGCACTCGCTGAACAATGTGCTTCAGCAGGAAGCATACACGCACAATGACCTGGAGCGTGTTGCCAACCAGCTGCACGCACAGCAGCAGCAAGCAGCCGGCTGGCTTTCCCGCAACAACCATAAGAACACGTTTGGGTTCGGCGACTACGACGTCAACGTAATCACTGGCGCACTGCATGAGCGCGGGCTTGATCTGCACTGGCATGACAACCGCGTTCCGATCTCGCAAGCGATGCCGAGTAATTTCTTAGGGATCATCGTGCACATTCGCCAGTCGTGGCTTTTCCGTAACGGGCATTGGTTTGCTATCAAGTATTTTGACAGTGAAATTGCCATGCCGGCTGCGTCCTCCAAGGCGGCGGGGGCGGGGGAGCAGCGGGGGCCTGGTTTTTGGAACTTGGACTCGAAGGCGGAGTACCCGGAATTTATCGGAGGGAAAGAGGAGCTGGACTTGTTTGTGGTCCGGTTGGCCCAAAAGTACCAGGTGCATGCGATGTTTGTTGTGCCTATGCAACCCCAGAAGGAGCCGTCTGAATTTGAATTCTTTGCTTTTTGGCTTGGGCTGATCAAAAGAAGCAGGCTTCTATTTTTGGACGATTGCCATTGTTTTTGTTTGTTTTTTTTGCTGCGCGCGTTTATTTTTGCTTCTTGGCACACCCTATTTCATATCGTCTGACTTGGATGCAGGTGCACACCCTATTTCCATCTCACTTTCGCTTTACCTCTCTTCCGTTTGCTTTTGGCTTTAGATATTTCATTTGCTCATTAAATTTCTTGGTATTTTTGTACCTCATTTACACACACACGCACACGCACACACACACACACATATACACGCAAACAAAGCCATGGCCAACCCGGAGCTCTCGCAGGCCAAGCAGCAAAGCCGACACACTTCGCAGCCGCCCCCACTGCCCATGCGTCACCCGAGCCAGCCCCACAAAGCGCAGGAGACTCCAAACCCTGGGCACGCCTCACCTACAACGCCCGCCTCTCTCGACCCCCAGCAGCGGCCCAAGCTCACCTCAGACAGCGCCCGAGGCTGCCACTCCCCAGCGGACGCAAGGCCGCCAACGTCCGATCGCGTAGCGGAGTTCCGACTGGATATCCCCGACGGGATCCGCAACATGACGCAGCACGCAGGCGCCCAGATCCACGGCAGCGTGCTTCTGACAGTGACCAAAGCAACGCGGGCACAGCGGATCCAAGTGCGGTTCCTCGGGCAGCAGCGGAGCCGGCTGCAGGATGCCGGCAGCCAGTCGCCGATCGCATCATTTGTCACAGTCGAACTGCCCTTGTTTGACCGGCAACTGACCCTGTGGGACGGCGATGCCGATGGCGCTGGCGCTGGGGTTTTGGAGCCGGGCACTTTGCGGCTGCCGTTTACGGTTGCGCTGCCGGAGGCGGAGTACCCGGCGACGGTGCGGCGTGAGGGCGTGTGCCGGGTCAAGTATTCCTTGTGGGCGGAGCTCGAGCGCCAAAGTGTGTTTTGCGACCGAGTGCTGAAGACGCCAAAGGAGGAAATCTGGATGTCCCCGAGGGTGTATCCTGGAGGAGGCCCATCGGAGAAGCCTCTGAGGATTGACGCCGAGGCTGTGCCGCGAGTGGAGTCGGGCATTGTGGTGCGTGTGGCAGGCGCAATGTTGCAGTCGCCGGTGGTGGCCGGTGGGTGCGTTGGGTTGCACTTGGAGGCAACCACGGCGGTGGGCGGGGGTTCTGGTGTGGAGCCGGGCAGGTATACGGTGCGGGGTGGGCGCGCCGTGGTTGTTGAGCGGATGGACGTGCGTGGGCTGATCCGCGGCTTTGAGCAATCGCAGTTCCACCGCACGGACATATGGGCGCAGCCGCTGAAGCCGGTGGAGCCGGATAGTGCGCCAGCCAATAGTGCGGCAAGGCGCACGGAGCCGAGCGCGGTCTTTACGAGCAATGGCAGCCTGCGGATCCCTGTTGAGCTGTGCCCGTTTGAGAGTAAGCAGCTGCGGTGCAGGTACGAGATGCGCTTGGAGTTTGATATTGTGGATTCGCGGTCGTTGCTGGATAAGGTCACACGGCAGTCGCACTTGTACTCGGTGGTTGTGCCGATGGACGTGTGTACTGCGCCGGTGGGGGTGCAGCTGCCGTGGTGGTTTGAGGGTCCGGCGGAGCCTGGGGTGCGCGCTGGAGGGTGGGATGTTGAGCGCGCGTTTGTTGCTTGGGATAGGAATAATCCAACGTGGAGGGCGCTGGCGGAGAAAAGAAAGGGGACGCCGATGGTGTGAATAGTAAAAAATCTTAGAATATAGCAATAGTAAAAAGCCTAGAATATAGCTCATGTATGACATTGCTTTATGTAAATGTATGCAACATGGCTGTTTTACAATGATGCATTGGAATGTATGGCGAAAGTCGTGAATTGCAGAAACCGCTCATTTTTTGCTTTGTTAGTTCTACTGCTTTTACTGCTATTATTATTTTATATAAAATGCTATCAATTGCACGTGCACCAAAAAATGCAATTAATGTTTGGTGATTGGGAGATAAAAATATGTATTTTATTGGTCAGACTTTTGGCATAAAAAAGGCAAATATTTGTCCATGTGGGATTTGATTGTAAAAATAAATGAAATAAAAATAGAAAGTGGTGTGCCAATGCTGCAGCAAAATACATGAAAAGAAGTGGGTGCAGCGAGCAGTATAAAATTTGGAGCCAGAAAAAACCTTTTGTACCCTAAACAAATATATTTTTTGCCTTCACCGACAAACACCCAATTTTATTTTATTTATACTCCTCATTTCCTACTCTAAATTCCAAACCGCCTACTTTAACAGCCATGCGTCATCTTAACAGCCCCTTTCTTCTCGCATCAATTGCGCTTTTGTTTTCTTCCATTGCTGTAGTATGCCATGGGTTGAGCAGGAACTACGCCTACCCAGCAACCAAAGACTCCACAATCCTGCGCTCCACCGTCAGCTGCCCCAGCTGCCCAGAAAACAACTGCTACAAATGCACCCTGGGCAACGCCACGACTTTAGTGGCAAATACTGGCGGCCTAGCCTACTCCCGCGCGCTCATTGGCTTTCAAATGTCCGTCCCTGGATCATCCATAACTAGCTGCTCAATCCAAATTCCGGCTTTTGTCGCTCCCCTCCAGGCTCCAATTACAGTTGTTATTGGTAGGGCGGAGTCGTCCTGGTGGAGTGAGGATCGTGTGACGGGGGAGAATGCGCCAGAGGAGCTGGAGGAAGTTGCCAGTGTGGATGTACCGGCTTTTAATAATCTGGGTCCTACGGATATTACAAAGGCATGCCAGAAGGCTGTTAATGGCAGCTTTTCGGTTTACTTTAGTGCTAGATTTGGCCATTTCGAGTTTTGGTCTAAAAACTCTGGAAACCCCGCTATTCTTCACGTCACCACTTACTAAAACATTGTTTGTGTTTTATTTTATGCCTTTAGTGATTTAATGTTTCGAGTATTTGATCCAAAAAATATATATTGACCCGAGCATAGAAATTTTATCGCTGGGCGCGTTTGTGTATGAGTGGCTGGTCAAGCTGGACGCAGAGTACCAGCAGCACCATGTGCTTGAGGAGGGCAACTAGCCGGGTTTAGTCCATTAGATTTACTTTTAAATCAATTTACCTTTATTGTTTATAAAAGCACGCCTTGCAAAATGGTTCTCTCCCATTCTCTCTGTGTGTGTGTCTCTTTCTCTCAGCGATCAACGGCCATTGGCACGCCGGCCAGATCCCCACTGCGGTACGCAGCATCAGCCATTTTATGCCTCGAGTCGAGCGAATGGAACCTGGCCCTCATCGCCTTGTACGCCCTGACAAAGTCTTCGATCTCGTCCACGCCCTTGTCCAAAAACACGTCGGCCCTCCTCTCCGCCTCCTCATCGGCCTCCCTCGCCTCCCTCTTCGCCCTGGCCAACAACACCGCCGGCGAATATGGCTTCTGCAAATCCAAATGCTCCTGCACCAACTCATACAGCCTTGTAGTCAACGAGCTTGCAAACATCTGCAGCTCCGCCACGCCCTCCCGCATCCGCTTCAGCTCATCCTCCGACGACAAGTTGACCTTAGCCAGTCGCTCGTTCTCCTCGCGCAGCTCGTACTCCAAGGTACGCATCAGCTGGATCTGCTCTAACCCGTCAATGTGCGCTTGGAAAAGATCCGCGTACCGCAGGAGGTCTTCGAGATCATCTGCGGATTTATTCGCAAACGTCGGGAATTGGTCCCAGAGCTGCTGCTGCTTGGAGGCAATGAGGTCGGGGTCGGAGGGCAAGTTGTAGTTGTTCATGGCCTCGGGGACACCAACCTCGTAGGCTGGGAGGTCGAGCTGTCGGGAGGCTGGGGCTGCTTCGAATTCACTAAAGTCCTTGAGGTCTGTGGAAGCTGTGGTGTCTGAGACGTCGTCGTTGCCGTTGCCGTTGCCGTTGCCGTTGCCGTTGCCGTTGCCGTTGCCGTTGCTATTGCTGCTCATTCTTGAAAAGTTTAGATAATTATAAAGTACAATAAATAGTAAAAAGTGAAAAGTAAAAAGTTGAATTAACGAAGAGTGAACGGAAGAAAAGATGAGTAGAAAATAAATGCGCTTCTTGTCCTTTTCCAATGCCAAACCTTTTTCTTTTCTTTTCCACGCAATTGGGAAGCAGGACAGTCGAAATCATGTGATTGATATCCCGTTCTTTTTTACATGTTTTTTGGGGCCTGATATTTGGCGTTTTGATCGAGTAAAAAGCGTGGTGTTGTCGCCAACTGTACAAAAACAGCGAGAACAGACCAATGCTTGCACCCCGTGTCTTTTCAGCTGACTGGGCTCTGTGTATTCTTTCGTAAACAGCAACTTTAAATGCTAAATGTTAAATGTTAAACAGAAGAAAAGCCCACTGGCAAACTTTATACCTTTTCCTTAACGTTTTACAATAAACCTGCTGTTGTTTCGAAATACAAACACGCCTTTAATCGGAACTAATTTACCAAGCATTTTCGTGGTTTTTGTTTTCATGAACTTGAACTTTAAAAAATTATATATACATATATATAGACAGAGAACTGTGGGACGTGCAATTCAACCAAATAAAGTGTATGAGACTGCAATTGACAATTTGCGTTTGGAAGATGGGATGCCATCCAAAGTATGCCACTAAAATATATAAATAAATGGTGTGCAGAATGAATGGCATAAAGTGGATGAGCAGCTGCTGATGTTGCCATTACTCTCAATTATACTGTTGATATTGCCGCTAATGTGCCACAAATGTAGGATACTCGCACATGCCACAAATGTAGGAAACTCACACATGCCACAAATACAATCAACAAATAACCGAATATTGTTTTTTAAATGTCTGCCACCAAATCATTTGTAACCAAATGCTGGATCCAAATACCACCCTTTGCCACTCATCCTTAGGGCTGACAGGAATGCTACTATTCATCTGGCCGGCGGCTTCGGATTGGGAGGAGATCGCTACCATGTATAGCCCGGATTACAATCAGCTGGATCTGACGGGTACTGCAAAGGCGTGTGAGAAGGCCGTTGATGGCAACCGTTCGGCTTACCTTGGAGCTGAAGGTGGCCATTTCGGGACTCCGTCCGAGGAGCCCAGCAACACTGCTATTCTTCCCGCCTTTACTCTTACTAAATAATTTTTTTACCTGGCTGGTTTCAAGTTCGCCTAGTGGGTTGGGCATTTGACAAAAACCAATCTTTTTTCACGAGCCACTTCTTTTACATTGTTTCACGCTTGTTGCTTCGCCACACCAAGGCACCTATGAAATGAGCGGATGGTTAAAATACATGTTGTGTAACCAGCAAGTCAAGCCGTATTATTGGCCACGTCGCACTATATTATCCATGGCGGACAACGTTTGGTTTTTAGGCTGAATATTTTACAGGAACAGTGCCATTCATTGGCCCTTGGATATTTATCCTGGGTGGTACAGAGACAGCCGAAAGCAATTAAAGGCAATAAATGACAACAAATGGGCCTGTTTAGAATATTATGCTTTATGCATTGTCAAAGCCCAGCCAAAACGGCAATTCCTCATCGTTTTTTACCATTGGGCTTAGTATCACGCAGTTGCCAAGACTCCTCTCCGTCTCCGCCTTCCGTCTCTTTTTCGTACTCTTTGCGGGCTGCAAATCCACCCCGATGAACCAATTTGTGGCCAGGGCGGGTCGGCCCGATCGCCAAACACGTGCTTGGAATCCGACAGCGCACTTGTCCTTTGTGCACAAGAAAGAAAGAAGGAAAAAGACTTGGTAAAAAGGAAATAAAAGCGAGTGACGTAAGCACACATATGCCTTTCGCGGCAGCTAGAAGCACAAAAAGCCACGGCGTATCTGGGTTCCTACAGCCCGCATTTTGCACCTTGCACGGAGTGCTAGAACAAGCGAGCTGTCTTGCCAGACATACATGGAATACGCAAAGTGAAAATTCAAATGGAAAAGCAGAGGGAGGCTTACATGCTTTTTTGGTAGTTACATTGAATTGAACTGAACTGAATCAAACAATATATTATTGTTGTCTTTTTACGTCTCTATTTTTCGCAGTTTCGCGAACTGGTCCTGAAATGGATATATTGGGCAGTACTTGTGTCTACAATCGCATTGTTTTCGGAAAATAGAGGGTGAGTGAGAATAATACACAATGTCATTATGACTCTCTTTTTGCTCTCTTTTTCCCACTATTGCCCCAATATGCCTGTCTGTTTGTCTTTTGTCAACTCTTTTCCATTGCGACGAAGACAATAGTAATAATAATAATAATAGAGCACGAGGACTGCCAGAAGCAGAAAATGTGTCTGCTCTTTTGGCTTTTTGTTTTGCACCGGGTGCATAGTTTCTAAAGATGGCTAAATTGCTATTGTGTGCGTGTCCCCTTTTGCACCCATATGGCCATTGGCTCGCATATGCAGCTGACCCAAGATGGAGGCAGCGACAGCCAGCGACAGCCAGCGACAGCCAGCGAGTGTGATTCCGACGCTCAAAGCACCAAACCCGAAATTAGGTGCGGCAAAGTGAGAGCACCGAGCTAACATAAACAACCAAAAACCAAAATAAAGCCAAAGCGCAAAAAATCACCCGTTTGACTGGTCGATCGGAGTTCACAGCCAAACAGTCAAGCAGTCAAAGCAGCTGAAGGCAACCAACCAACCAAGCACCGAGTCGAGTGCTAAAAAAGCCTGTGTTTTCGGCTTATTTCTCGCGCTCTCGCCCAAGCCGCCTGTTATTGTTTTTGTGTTTTTGTGTTTTTGTGATCAAAATAGCGGACACCTCTCCTGCGTCCTCTCTCTTATTTTAGCCTGCATGTCGATCGGAATGGAAAAATGCGCGGATTGACTCGATATCGGCTATCGGAGCATCCTGCGATTGGCCAATCCGCCTGGTTTCTGGTGTTGAGTATGAACGCGCCTTATTTTATTTTGCTCTTTCTTGCTGAGAACAACACCAAGCGCCCTCTCACCCTCCCCTCTTCCTTTTCCGTATCCTGTTTATATAAAAAGGGGTGGGTGGATCTGCTGTTTTTCATCTTTTTCTCGGCTTTTGTTCTCTGCATTCTGTTTCTTTTCTTTTTGCCGTCACATTAAATCACTCGAGTTCATAAATCGCCGTTCCGATCCTGTTTCTACAGCTCTCAGGCTAAACTGCCCACAACACTCTTTTTCTCTTCCGAGCCTTTGGCAAGGATCTTTTTGCACATATAAATACGCTGGCGTTGTCCCTACCCCCCAACCAACCACCCACCCATCCATATTTATTTATTTAGTTATTTATTTATTTGTATATTTTCTACCACTCACAAACCCTATTATTATTCGCCCATCTTTTATCTGACATCAAAAACAAACTGACAATGACCGGTCGCCCCACACACATGACGCTCACCACCACAACGGCCCACGGCACAGCCCTTAGCGGCTTCCCGCAGATGCCGCCATCGCCCATGGTCGATGCGACCATGTCTGCCTCGCCAAGCGACCACATCGGCTTCCACCCGCCCATGCACTCGCCGGCGGCGCCCTCCCTGTACAGCCACTACCACCCCCTCAGCGGCGGCGGTGCCCGCAGCGCGCGCAGCGACAGCGCCCACAGCACCTACAGCGCGACAGACGCTAACGGCAGCCCGGCCGACGCCTGCAGCATTATGCGCCACACTTCGCGCAACAACTTTGGTGGATCGTGGTTGGATATTGGGTCCGACAACGAGGACGACTATGGCGGAAGCAGCTCGGGCGGGCGGCGCACGCACATGCGGCGCAAGAGCTCAGGTGCCAGCACCAGCGGACGCGTGTCGCTGGCGAACATCAAGGAGATGACGCGCAGGAGCTCGATGCATTTCCGCAGGCTGACCATCAAGATGGGCGTTGGGTCTTCTGCGCACAACTGAGATGGCCGCGAGAATTGAGCCAAAGGGAGAGCAGTACACGACTTGCCTTTTGCTGGCGGTGTAATTGGCGTCAGGCTGTCCTTTTTCTTCTTCGCCCTTCCCTCACAGCCTCTGTGTGGCTGTGCCTGTGTCTGTGTCTCTGTTGACACTGTAAATACTCCAAAACCCCTTTATTATTATTTCATTCATTCGGCTGGAGCTGGTTTCCCGTCTCTTCGTGATCAACTCTGGAAGGCTCTTTGTGCTCTGACCCTTCTTCACTCATACCCCCCTTTCTACTGCGTCTTTTGCTCTCGCTCTCGCTCTTTTCCCTTTTCTTCTCTTTGGCTGGTCCATTGTCTGCCGACTCCACCACAATCACGACCAAAGCATTGCCACCTGTATGCACTCTTCAAACCCTGTATAATCTTGACAACGACAACGACAACGACCGTCGCTGATCCAAGTTTTTTATTATTTCCTTTTTGAGTTAATAAAACAACATTTTCCCACTATCTCCTGTCCTTTGTTTATCAAATACAAAATGCATAGCTCAAAGATTGGGTCTATTTCCTCTCACTCACTATCCCCAACACTTTGGAACTAACAATGGCCACAAACAAATAAAGAGCAAAAATGGCAAGTACAAAATGGTTTAATTAAAGGGAACGGGATGATGCGGCAGGTTGAATCCCTGGTAGTATCCATTATCCATTATCCACTATCCATTATCCATTATCCATTATCCGCTGTTCTGCAAATTATGACAGAAACTTGAGGTCAAACATTTTACGAGGGAGAATAAAGAAGCCTATACCAGCGCCAATTCATCACACAAATATGAAAGGTTGAAAAGACAATAGCGCCAAAATGACAATACACAAGTAAAATAAATGCAGTTTATTGTAAATACAATATCCACAAT